TTAGATCAGGTGTTAAGGGGAAATCTTTCAGGATGGTGAGACAGTGGCATGGGCTGCCCAGAGAAGCTGTGGGTACCCCATCCCTGGGGGTGCTCAGGGCCAGGTTGGATGAGGCCCTGGGCAGCCTGAGCTGGTGGGGAGCAGCCCTGCACGTGTACGGGTCTGGGACTGGGTGGGCTTAAGGTCCCTTCCCACTCAAACTACTTTATTATTCCATGATTCTGTTAGCAGGGTTGACAGTGAGGTCAGACCAATTTAGTCAGGTCCTAGACCAGTCCTCTGCCTCCAAGGATGGAGATGGTTCAAAGCTATGTTAGAGAAGGTTCAGATTAAACATTAAGAAAATACTGTTGATAGTTTGACACTAGAACAGGCTTCTTAGAGAGGCAGTTGCTCTGTTCCTCTCTGTGTAAGTCATTTGGAGAATGTTCTCAGTGGTATGTTTTTGACTCTGTGTCGGTGTCAAAGTAGTCTGGCACTTGGACTCAGTGACCTTTGTAGTTTCCTGACAACTCAATTTAATGGTTCTGTTCTTTGATACCTTGTTTCACCGCCTGTCTGGGTGATGGGGGAACGTTTTTCTGATAACCTGTTGTCCTTCAGTGGTGTTTTCAGACAGGACACAGGGCCTGGACCTGCGCAGAAGGGAGCCCCTGCCCTGCTCACAGCTCCCCGGTACCTGGCTGGCCCTGCCCAGCTCTCCTCTGCCAAGGTGGAGCACCTGCTCCCAGAACTGTCAATCACTGCCTGCTCAGAGTAGGCTGAGCACAGTTTGTTGAGATTTGTGTCAGTCCTTTCCTTGATATAAGTATTTATAAACAGAGCGTTCATAAAAAATTTTTATTCATGTCTATAGCAGACGTGAAGACACACTTTAGAATGGTTTTGTTCAGAAAACACGAGGCAAAACAGAACAAACAGCAATTTTAAGAATAATATTTTGAATAATATGATTTCGTAATGAATGGCACAGAAACAGCTAATTATTTTTAATGGGTTCTGTTAACACCATTTATTTTCATGATGTACTGTCAAAAAATATTTCAAGTAAATAAGCACACTGCAATTTAAGACCAATAGTTTTACTTATATGTATATACCAAATTGAAATGAAGTTGGTCATACAAAAAAAGTGAAATTAAAATGTATGTCCTTGTAAAGGAATATATTTAAACAGAAAGCAAGTACAAGCTGTTGTGAAACATAGTCTTGAATCATCTATATCAAAGTCAGATTTTATCTGAAGGACCCTATTGTAGTTCTGTTTCATTACTAGCCTCCTGCCAAGTTTCTGAATGTACTAGTTAAGGATTTGTGCTTAATGCAAGTAGCCTGTGACTACAGATGAACGATAACACAGCGCTGTTCATTTTTGCTTGAGTTTTCACATAAAATTAATTTTCTTCAAGAGCAGCTATAATTTTTAAACATTGTTGAGCTTGAAGTCTTAACTTCATGAGCTATGGTTGTCGTCTTTTTAAATAATATTTCAGTCCTCTTCCTCTCTTCATGTTCTTCCCCTAACTGCTCAGCAGTGGGGTTATGAATCTTCTCCTCTAGGAATGTGATTTCATCTGTTGGTTTTGTTGGTTTGTTTTGGTTTTTTTACTGAGCAGCCTTACCTGCTTTTCAGCTCCCCTGAGAAGAGGTCCAGGGGAGTTCAAAGAGCTTTGTCCTCAGACTTTTTTGTAGGAAGGCATATGGAAACGGTCAAAATGCATTATCTGAAAGATTTCTTTGTGGCCACAAAGGATGATAATTGGTAATGGGCCTATTGCATCAGAATAGTAGTTTGTGAAGCCTCCTCATTTATCCCCGAACTGCTTCTAATCATAAAGGCTTTTCTTAGTAAATGAGCCTAAGTAACCTGACTATAGTAATTATTTTTAGGACTCCTCATGTACTTGTTAAAATACAGTAGAGAAATATCCATTCAATAATTAACTCTAAGTAAAAAAGATGCATAATACCACTTAATCATCCTGTTTTCTTGTAAATTTTAGCTATAGTTTAAAATAAAACATTCTATATTTTAGGTTAAAAAAGGCAGAAGCTTGATGGTAAGCAGTGGAAGAAGATTAAAGTTAAGGAGGAAAAAATGCAGATAAGAACTTCTGAAGGGAAAAAAAGTTACATTTACCAATTACTGCGTTTCTTATAAGTACTTTTTGAAATATGTTCTTGCAGATGAAAGCCGTGCTTGTTTGGCATGTATGTTATATGTGATTTATAAAAAGGATGTGGAAAAACGTGGGAGACCATAGTGTAATCAGGAGGCTGGAAGGAACTCAAACGTTTAATTTTTTCGGTTTTTTTTAATTAATAAATGGCTCACTTGAGATTCTCTAAAGGTCAGAAAGAGTTTGGCAGCACTTGTGAAACCTCTCTTCTCTGTGACAGTGTAGAATGCTGGGAGCGTATAATGCTGGGAGTCTTGACATCTGTACTGAGCTAACAGCTTATGTAAGAAAGAGATATTTACCTGCATGTTAATCTGTTTACCACTGTCTTTAGATTCATAATGGCTCCATGTTGTTTAGTCCATTACTTGAAAATACATAGAGACTTTTAGACCACCTAATGATTTCAAGGAATTTTTTGTAGATACAGAAGCTACTTTGATACACAAGTCTTCTAAGCAGTAATATTTGCTCCTTTTTGTTTGCCTGCCATTTTTAGTTGTTGTCTTCTTTCATTCAAACTGACAAAAAGGTGCCGTTACTTGAAAATTTACAGGAATAAGACTCCCTGGCCAAGAAGGGTCCTCAAAGGAAGAGAGCTTTGGTGCTCCTGTGTGCGTGTATACAGAAAAAAAATCTGTTTTCCAATCATGTTAATATTTAATCATCATGAATGAGGGTCCTACTAATACTTTAGGGAAATCAAAGGATCAACTGAATGAGCAGTCATTAGTTTCTAGTGTGTGTGTTTGGCATTTTTGCTATTCACACAGGTATACAGATTTCTTTGCAGAAGTCATTGCTGAATTACTTTAAGAGAAGAGCATAGTGTTTCCATGTGAAGAGATTAAATAGAGTTAAATTTGGAATTCTTCATAACTATGTTAAGATCAGTACACACAGTAACAACTTGTGTGATCAGCCTCTTTACTTAGAATTTGTCCAAATAAAGTATTATGGAAGATTCTTTCCTCAGTTGTCACTGAAGCTTTTTGTATTTATCTTAGTCAACAATCATCTTTGAATCTTTTTCTTTTGAATATATTCTTCTGTAAGTGTATTTGTTCTCCTTTGCATACAGTTGATGCAGTCACAGGCAATCTAGCAACTTTTCAGAACTTTCTATAAAAACCTTGTTCTTTCTTTGTTTGAAATAATGCTATATTGAAATCCTTTATATTTGATTATGCTGTAGCATAGTGGCATTTTTTTTATACCTCCACTCTTGTTTTTAGCAACATCAGAACAGAAGCCTGAATGTGACTCTTGGGGGAACTTTAGGAGTTCTCAATTAAATGTATTTACTGGAGTGGCAGTGGGGAGTCCACCCCTCTGAAATAATTCAGAGAACGTTCTCTACAGCGCCTCAGCCTTGAGACCATTTGATTTTTATTTTGACTTTTTATTGCGTGTTCTGTAAGCATGGTTGATTCATCACTTAGGAAGGGAACTTTCTGCTTTGGATAGCTGGATGTAAGTTTCTGCCATTTGCACTTGAGAACAAATTAACCTAGGTCTAGCACGGTATCAAACTGTGGCGCTTAATTTGTTGGACCACTTTAAAAACATCTGGATTTGTTAGGAAGTGTTTCCTTTTTGGTATAGCTGCCTGTCTGCTTTAACATACCTGTTGAAAAGGCATCTTTAATTTCTTGCTCTCCAGCACTCAAAGTCTCTGGAAGCCTTTGTCAGAGCAAGGGAAAGAGAGACTTACTGAACATGAACTCTGTTTTGTGATGTGTTCTATCTGCAGAGCTTTGTTCATCTGGTATCTTTAACTCTATGCTAGCATGTTATTAATACGTGTTTCCCTGTATTGGTTTTGGAGTGTTAGTCCTCATAATTTATGTAATGTCTGTATGGCTACAAAAACAAAAATGCTTCTCTTCCTCATCATTTCCTAAAAACAGGCCACTAGCAGAAGATGAAATAAACCTTGGGAAGCGGTGACTTATGTCCCCAGAAGGAAATATCCCTAATACATTAGATTGATATCATCTTGGGATGCAGGACATGTTCTTTTAGCTCTACAGATTTAGCCTTTTTTAAATTTATAGAACAGTATTTATAATTCACTGAAAATATCTTCCACTTATTTATGATTGAGTCCTAGAAAAATATTAGTAAATGAATCTTAAACAAATTGCTCAAGAAAGATGTGTTTTTTAATCTCGATGTGGATGTGAAGTTTGTTCATGTTTCCTGTAAAACATGTAACTTCTGCAGAGAAAGAGAGAGGAAAAGCGTTATTTACTGCATAATTAGTTACGTTGTCCTGCTAGGCATGGAGAGTTAAGTTAGCCATTCAAAGTATGTGTTTTTGTCAGTGCTTGACTTCAACCCATACTACTAAAACCAGCATGTAGCAGTTAGATTTCTTTCTTGTGTGATAAACAGTTGCTTAGTTATGGCACAAATAGTGATTATGGAGTCACAGAGGACTTCTGAATTTAAATCTAAAACTTGTGATTTAAGAATGCTGTAGTGATGTTGTACTGAGGACAGCAAGGGTGATAGAAAAGTGAAGATTTGGCAACAGCAGCAGCCAGGACTCTTTGCTTCTACTGACTATTAGGAAATTATAGTATGTTTACTAATGAAAATGAACTAATGCACTGTATTCTGGCTGTTCTGTCATCAGTAATTGAAAGCATCGTGAATGTCAGCATATGGCCTTTGTGGAGGATAAAAATAGCAATTTCAGTTAAATTTTAGTTTGTCAGTGGTACTGCGCTCAAGTACATAAAGAAATGTTACATGAACAAAGTAATTTACTATAATGATTTGAAGTAACTTCTGTTTAAACACTTTGTGTTCCAGATTTGTACTATGGTGGAGAAGCTTTCTCTGTAGAGCAGCCACAGTCTTTCACTTGTCCTTATTGTGGAAAAATGGGTCATACAGAAACAACTCTTCAAGAACATGTTACTTCTGAGCATGCGGAAACATCAACAGAAGTGGTAAGAAACATCAGAACTCTTTTAATTGTGAAAATTCATTAAAAAGAATATTCAGGAAAATGTGTAAAAAGTCATTCTTGAAGCATGAGTTCTTTTAAACGCTTCCGAAGAAGTCACACTTCATGATATCAGATTTTTTGGGAGGAGGTTATGCTCAGATAATGAGCTTCCTTTTTGCTTTTATGGTTGCTGCTTTGTTAGTCTGGTGTAAAGGTTGCTATGTTTGGGAGCTTATGCTGTAAAACAACATTTAAAGCATTCTTGTGGCTGTTCTTCCTTTTTACAACCAGTGTGCAATTGCCAAATGAGTTTACAGTTGGGTAAGACCATAGCTCCATAGCTATGGCAGTCTTTTGTTGCTGTAATTACATTCTGCGAGCAGCAGAAGCTGTAATTCTGCTGTGACTTGTTCTTGAGGCAGCAGGAGGGGAAGGGATGTATTCTCCATCTCTTAGCTGATAGAACAGTTGACACCATTGAAAACACACTTCCTTAAAGTACCTTTTTGGGTGTTTAGTTGTGTTAGTTCCTACTTTCCCGACTGCCTTTCAGAGTAGGTGAAGCAAGGCTAACAGAATGACTTCCAAAATCCTCTTGTCCAGTTGACTTTTTTCACGGATTCCCAAAAATACTTGTTTGCTTGAAATGGATTACTCATTAGTAAAACATTGTGAATTACTCATAGGGTTCTCTGTTCTGATGTTCGCGTTATTTGTTTACTTTCCATGGAATTCTTTTGAAGATGATGAACCCTTCTTTCAAGCCTGTTAAGGATCTTGAATGAAGGAGTGCTAGGGGAGGTAACTTGATAGTTTTGAAGCTCTGATCTTTGTTGAAAAGATAAGTGAAGCAGTTTACTTCTGTCAGTGTTACTGCAGGATTATAAGTTGCCTTACTGATACACTTGGAATTTTAATAATATAGATTTTTTTTCTTAAATGCTTCACCTTTCAAACATACCATCAACTGGAGATTCACATCAGGATGACTTCTTTCATGGTTTAGTGTTGCAGTTCTGATTTGCACCACTTGATGTCAGTGGTATTTTCATAACACCGTATTCACATTCTAGGTTTTTTAATCTGGCATTTCCTTCTTTGCAGCTGCAGCTTCTAGAGTTCAGTATGTAGAGCCTAAATTTGTGAGCCTGCTACCCTGCTGGTTTCTGAAGAAGTTTTGTGTGTTAAAAGGAGCCTTTGATTTTTGTGAGTCAGCCTGCAAAAACAAAATTTTTATCCTGATTCAAGTAATAATAGAAGGCAATCCTTTAATATGATTGCATATGTTTGTGCCAAGTTGCAAAGTTCAGTGTGCAGAAAATGTAAGGCTGCTTGGGTGCTTGATAGCGAAAGATGACAACATGACTAATGAAGAAAATCTTAAGATAATCAATTGTGTTGTTCTGGGCATTCAGACAACTGTTTTTGCTCATGTCTTGACCTTTTAGTACTTGCAGTAGATCTTGCTGTTGACAGGTGGACCGTACCTGAGATCTTCAAGTCTCCAGGGATAGACTGTTTTTTATTTTGCTGGTGATCACTCTTTACTCCTTACCTATCTTTCTAAAAGAATAAGTCAAAGAGTTCTGATCCACTGGAGGGGGAGGAAAAAGCACCATTAATATTTCTGACAAGTTGAATTTTAACATTTTTGTATTTGGACTGTTGAAGATAAGAGGGTGATTTTGCTCAGTATTTGGCAGCGGTAAATATAGCAATATTAGGTACTTGTGAACAGGATGAGTCTGACAGTATTATATTGAAGGGCAGTTTAATGATGGGTACTTGAATCAAAAAATTGTACTGGTGTCTGTGGGAGAAGTTGAAAGGTTCAGATTGACTAAGGTCCCTAAGGTTGCATGCTAAAAAAAAAAAATAAAAAATTGGCAGTATTGGTGAAAAAGTGATGTAAAGTCTCAGTAATTACCAGTATTTCTTTACCAGTCCAAGAGTAAGGATAAGTTTTATAGGGCAAGTAAGTGCCAAGGAATATGGGTATCAGAGTAATTACACTGTTGGTGCTGGGTTTCAGTTCAGCCTAACATACTGAGTATGATTCAGCATTCAGCTAGAAGTCAGTGTTGTAAACAAGCTCAAGATTTTGGAAACTACTGAATGTCATACTTGAATCTCTTTTCAGAATAAAAATAGATTTTCTGCATTGTCACTCTTCATCAGATTTGCCACATTTAGCAAGGCAGTAACTAAGCTCATACCATGAGCTTTGGAGCTGTAAGGTCTAAGTTGTAAATATATTGCTGATTAAGCTGATTAGAACTTTTATTGCAGTAGTGAAACCTTTCAGATTATCTTCTGCTTCATTCTTGAAGATTTCAGTGTCTTCCGTTTAGTGACAGGATTTCTGTAAGATCAGTGTCATTTTATGCCTTACATGTTAATAAGGAGGCAGTAATAAGGAAAGTAAGGAGTAGAACAACATTTCTAGAAGCTAGCAGATATTAGGATTAATTCCTAACTGTTGTAGAACTTGAAAGTCATCTTTTGGATGTCATTCAGAGCAACATCATTATTTTTTAAAATATCATTAAAAAAAAAAAAAGCCAGATAAATTAGGAATGCAATTTTAAACCCATTATCCTAAGTTGTATTTTTTTGCTATGAAAACTAAACAAGTTCTATTAGCAACAATTTTCAGCTTTGTCACACTTAATCAGTGATGCTTCTGACTTCATCGTAACATAGGGTGTTTTGCCAAAGCTAATGCCTAACTAAATTTCTGTTTGTGTCTAACAATGCTTTAGAATGTTTTATTGGTGAGAGAGTTCTTGTAAGAAATTTCATGTTTGGAATTAGGTTCAAGTTACTAAGTTCCCTTGAATATTTCGTTGTTCTCCAGAACTTTTTGTTATCTCATGTTTTTCTGAGGAGTCCCTTTTTTCAAGCAAATATCTGTTGTTCATGAAGACTTCATCATGTTACACGTGAGGAACTTTGTATAGCTTTTTAAATTCTATTTTCATGATTATTCCCTTTTTCCATTTTCATAGGTAGCTGGAAAAAAAGAGTACCTTGAAGATTATGTTCATTAGATTTGAACTGTGTTCTTGTTTGAAGATTAAGCAATTTATTTGTAACTTTAGAAGTGTATGTTACGCTGAATTTCTTCTGAAATTGTGTGTTTATGGCAGGTAAAAGTGCAATGGCTAGCATCAAATTTAATAGATAGAAGCAAAATTGTTAGTCTAAATCGTTAGTCCTTAAAGGGCTTTTAGAAGTTAAAATTGAGTAGAGAGGTACTTTTTGTTTCTTCTTTTTTTTTTTCATCTTGAAATTGTAGACCATTTTGGAACACTTCATTCTGCTTCTGTTAAGCTATTATCTGACATCTGAAATGAGTAACTCTTAAGCAGACCCACTGCGGTACCAGTAGTTGTGTCCTCCCTCATATTCTGTAATGTCATTGCTCTGCAGTGTGTCTGCTTGTATTGCATCTGTAGTGATGGAAAACCTGAGAAATGGTTCTCTGAAGAAAAGTACATCATGTGGAAAATAAAGGGGGAAAGATGTAGTAGCAAGAACCATTCAAAAAGCCTAAGTTTCTGCATGAGGCTGCTTAATTAAAATATCATTGAAGATGTAAGCTGCTGTCAAAAGCAGCGGAGAATTTGCAGTGAATGTATTTAAGACATCATCCTCACCTCAATATAAGTAAGCCAGATGGGTGTAGTATCAGACGAGGGCTGCTCCAAAAGTAATGCCTCCCATTTTATTACGTTGACCTGCAGTGTCGGGGGGCAGATGCTGGTACAGAAGTAGAGGTTGAACCTTCTCAACTATATTCTACTGCATGATGCTGCCATGTGAGAGTTGGCAGCAGAGGGGCAGTCTGACAGAATGGTGTCTGACATGGAAGTGCCAATGAAGCAAAAGGGGTATCGCTGAGTTCCTCCATATGGGGAAAAAACAGCACCTGCTGACATCCGTCCATGCTTGATGAACATTTATAGATGCCAACTGGTGGTGTGCAGACAGTGAGGCACGGTGGTGTGTTTCAGCGGTGGCTTTGCACAGCCATCACAGCACAACATGAGGTCAGTCTCAACCAGCTCATCCCCATGAATCAGCAGGTTACAACAAGGGAACAGGCTGCTCATACAGGAGCAGAAGGAACAAGTCAGGGCCTACTGAACCGATATGAGGCTGAAGGCGGAGGTTTCTTGGGTGTCACCACTGTGGGCCTGAGTCAAAATGGCAGTCCATGGAGCGG